CGTAAAGATGTCTTTTCATATTAACAACATAGTTAAAGGGGCATTACACCACCTAAGAAATATAGCTAAGATTCATAAATATATCAATGTCACAACAGCTAAAGTTCTAGTACACGCATTTGTAAATTCGAAGCTGGATCTATGCAACTCACTTTTGTATGGTCTTCCCAAGTATGAAATTAACAAACTGCAATGTGTCCAAAATGCTGCAGCATGTGTGATTGCTTGCTTAAGTAAGTTTGATCAAATAAGCAATACTCTAAAGGAGCTGCACTGGCTGCCGGTGGAGCAAAGAATAATCTTTTAAGATTAATCTTATTTGTTTTAAGATACTCAACAATTTAGCTCCTGATTATTTAGTTGACCTAATTCACGTTTATGAACCTAAGAGGTATCTTCACTCATCTTCAGACAAGTGGCATCTTATTATCAAACCCTATAACTTAAAGACATATGGTTTAAGGGCTTTCTCAGTTATTGCCCCTATACTTTGGAATGATTTACCTATGGACATTAGATCAATCGACGATGTAAACAAGTTCAAATCTAGATTGAAGACCCTTCTTTTTAAGCAAGTTTATGAACTATCCTAGGTTCTCCATTTTGTACTTTTGTTATTATGTTTATATGTATAGGTATACAATTTTAGTCCTTTTTAAAGCACTGTAAAGCACTTAGCACTGAAAAGGATAGGCGCTATATAAATATTTTATTATTATTATTATTTGCCGAAATATCATTGAATAACCCTGACTTCCCTTCAATGTGAAAGTAGCCATTTCTTGTTTGACACATCTGTGTTTTCACTTGCATTGATATTTCATTGTTCTGCTTTGAGACACATGGTTAAACAATACTTACCAACAAGGAGTTGAGATACAACTTATCAACTTTTACTATTGTCATCATCCAATTACAGGTTGGAAGTATTCCTGTATTTAGTCACTAGTATTTAGTATTTAGTATTTAGTAGAGTCTGAGTGATTATACCAACATAAGCCCATCAAAGTTTTTTTAATGAGCTAAAAAATATATGAAGAAATAATTGGTTTTAAAACTTCAGAGAGTTCCATCAGAAAAGGAAGCAAAGCAAGTGACCAAACTACTGTCTCACTCACCGCATGAAACAGGCAATACCCAGAGTGCTTTCGTAGAGCTTGACCCATGTTCAAAATGGCAGATTTTACAGTGAAAAGTTCGATTTTAAAAAAAAACAGTAAGCAAAGGCCATTATTTTCAAAATTTAGGTTAACTCATTGCAAAAGCAAACCTGAGGACTTCTTGCAATGAAATTGAACGATTTTCTGTCCTTTGTTACTGTCTATTAATATCAGTGTCACTGTGTAGCCGGTTGCAACCATGTCTAAGATTAATTGCAAACAAAGTCTGAAAACTTCATGTACCTCTGATCTGTTACTTTGAATTAATATCATAATAATTCATTTGTTTATATTTAGCAGTGAGTCGTATCTTATTCTCGTTGATGATTCACTTATTGTGCAACTGTACACACTTGCACGACAGGCTTAGTGATCGGATTTCATTATGTTAGAGACAGTTCTTTTAGAGGTCTTATCAGTGCATGCTATCTTTTTTCATCGCTACACATCAGCTACCTATTCCTGCTAGGAACCAGACTAAAGTAAGCCATTTTATTTACTTGATTATTATAGTTAGCTTAAGGCCCATTTCCATCCGAGATCCTTTGCAGTCCTTTGTTTTTGTTTTGGAATTGTGCTATTGTTAAATTGTGAACTGTGATAGTCATTCACAAAACTATTAAAAAGAAAAACAAAGATTTGGTGAAGAACACAGTAAACAAATTTGCAGCTAAATATTTGAGACTGAAAAATCAGAAGTCGAGTCTGTGTATAAAACTTGTACAAAGCTTACTTGATGTTGCAGGAAATTGTTTGCCTTTAACACTAAATAAAATATAAACAAATAACCAATATTGGCCAAAACTGATTTACTTTATGCATTTCAATTATAGAATAATCACTTCTACAAATGKGATCCCTTACATACATATCTCAGGATCTCAAGTAAAAATCAGTCAAATAATTATTCTCACCTCAAAAAAATCTCCCCGGAGTCTCTAGTTCCATCGTAGGAACAATGCAATAACATTTCTGCAAAAGCACTGTCTGTAGTATTACTGAAACCCATGGTTGTTTTCCTTGCCCTCCATAAATCATACAGACTCTCGAAGTCGAATAACCTTTGCCGAGCCGGGCAGACTTAGCCTTCCTGTAGACCGCTTCTTCGGCAGCATCAACTTTTCAAATGACATTTCTCACCATCATACATGTAAGAATTAAAAACTATTTACTGATATGGATACTATGATGTTTGTTGTTCGCACATGATTCAAGATGGAACTTTGAAGGCCCTAATTAGTAAGATGGAAGAAGAGATCTGAGCGATTCCGCAACTACGAGGAAAATAGCACATTTTTCATAGATGAAAAATGATCCGGGCGCGCAAGGCATCTTGGTTGGAAATGGGCCTTTAAGTGGCATGATTATCTTTAGCCCATGTGTAATTTCATGATTCTATGCCATGTGCATCTAGGTTAAGAAGTGCATCTACAGGCATCGGTTTATTTAGGTTCCTTTCTTTGCCTTCTAGCGCCAGCAGGCAGTGCCTGTGGCAATGCGTTTTGTTTATGTGCGCGCATGCTGCCTCATGTTGTGTTGTAGATCACCACGCGCGAGAGAAATGTGCGAAAGAAGCGCGAGATTAAAAGACGAACATTTAAAACAAAGATGACAGTGCAAGGCTTAGCTTTTTTTCTACTTTTGTAAGAAGTTTACCTAACAGCGTGTATTTGAGGTGTTGAATGGTCACTGCATATGCAGGAGACAGAAACGAAGATAAAGAAGACGATTCTTGGAGACATAAAGGTTTCTTAACATCTAAACGAAAAATGCAACCGATGTGAAATCTTGCAACGGCGAAAAAAGGAGAACTCAAGTGAAGTATAATCTGCCTGAAGTGGAAGAAGCCTGTGAAACTTGAAGGTAAATAATATAATATAGCTGTACAAGTTGTGAGTAGGTCCTTTAAGATAAACCCAGGAGGCTGTATTTGATGGCTATTGAATGATATTTTCTAAGTAGTAAAGGTCTGTAAACATGAGATTGTAGGTGCTTGTGCGAACACACATGATAGTCAGCAGTAGCTATAACAGATCGTGAGCAAAAGTCAATCTTATAGAATCCAGATTTTTAAATGCACAACAACGCACGTGGGAATTGCTAAACTCGCGAAAGCTATTGCATGAAAACAAGTCCAGTGACTCCTTTTTAATGTTCCAATATGATAATAACATTGAAAGGAATCGTCAGAAAAAAAATACAAAATTCTACGGAAGGACATTTGCGATGGGTGAAAATTGCCTTTTACTAGATTTTCTGCAATTCCTCTCCCTAAAATTTTTTTTTAATCTTTGTGCATTTTCCTTTTCAAGTGCCGAAAGCAATCACTAAGAAAAATCATGGGGTACCGAGCTAGTTTTCAAATTATTTGAGCCATAAGCTTAAAAATGCTCCTTGATAATCCTTTGAAAGCGTTGCCATGGAAACTGCTAGTGACAAAATGACACCTATTTTTGGATGGCCAATGATTATATAATTCAACCCTGTAGAAGTGTTCAACTGGCCTTGGTCAGTCTTTTTGTTGCATTCTTTCAAAGTTACAAACCATCAAAAAGATAAAAACTGATACCAGCCACCTTAAAAGCTTTGTGTGTTGAAGTTTATCCCGTTGTGACTTTCACGTCTCTATCACTGGCGTAGTTCGAACCACAACAAATCTCATTACGAGAAGTCTCATCGCTACGCGAAGCTATACGTCGAATTGGGCTTTTGGTTTATAGCGACTATGCAACTGTCAACCTCAAATAAACCATATGCGCCGAAATCGGCGAAATCATCAAATTATCTTAAAAGAAAGGAAGTTTGTTCTGAATAGTGCATTAGAATAAGAGAAGGTTTGAAACTTTAACATCACCAACGTAACGAAAGTAATTCGCAAACCTTTACTTAAAAAACAATGATCCTGAAAAGAGTGATTTCTGGTCTGATCAATTTGCGTCTCTAGTGTTCCAACGGCAAGCATTCTATCGAATCTCTTCCTTCCATAACTTCAGGGACTTTAAACCTAAAATTAGGTCACATGAATTGAAAAAGAGTAAAAAATATTCATTACTCAGATAATTCAAATTACTAACTCACAAAAGTACACTTCGAAAGCAACTGAGGATCATGTTTATCACACCCGCCTGTTGCCACCGCATAATCGTGCAGGACGAGCTATGAACTGAGTAAGGGAAGTTTCCTTTACAAATTCTAACTTACCCTGACATCTAAAAGTTAAATACTACTGATAGATTGCATTTAGTCGGTGGAGAAGACCCTCCTCAAACGAGATCAACACTAGCCTGTGGCTAGGTCAACACCGATGTACGCGTTTCTGCTGAGATGTGTTCAAATGTGTCACCTTTGCACAGTCACGTGTCTCCTGATTAGGCGACGAAACCACAGTGTACGGCCAGCGGTTCTTGTTTTCTTCTCATTTAAATATTTTGTTATCGGTGTTATAGTTATTTTCAGTCTTTTTAGTCTTTTATTACCATCATGATGATTTTCTAGGTATAAATCAGCGTCGAAATGTAAAATTATCTGTGGTTTTTGATTTTCAGGGGCGAAGAAAGCTGACAATCGGAAACACGTCGAGTTTGCAGGGTAACCCTTTCCTATAATTCTGACCATCTACCGGTAATCGTTTTCTGTTAAGTTGATGTCTGCACGGAAATTGTTGGTAATGAACACCCCTTGAGCGGTAAAGATTTCTTAACTTCTTCTACTTAGAGTCTGCAAGTCTGATCCTATATGGACAACATTGCTAAAAAGTTTGGGTGACATGACTCTGGTTTCAGGCAACACGACTTTTTTTTTTGTTAGAGGTGTTGTCGGAAACAAACACCCTCTGAGCCATAGAGATTCCTCAACTTACTTTATTTACAGTCCATAAGTCTGAGCTTATAAGAAAGACATTACTGAAAAGTCTGGATGACACGACTCTAGTTTCAGGAGCCACGACATTATTATTTCATTTCCATTTACAGAATGTTATGCTATAATCTATTCAACCAAGACAATTTCTGTTAACTATCACACTACCTTATATTCTCAAATATGCAACGTTGTACTACAGGATTACTTTGACACTTAGGCAACTGAAAAAGTTAAGTGACCACAACAGACAGACTTTGAGATATTACCAATGATAAATTCCGAGTGTATAAATTGCTATGTCCTTTTGGCATAAACCATGTTCATGGGATTTTCTGGTGATTTCATCCATTCCTTTTTGAGTAATTGTTTTATCTGAGATAACCGCATGTTAGGATTTTCTGTTTTAAGCTTTGGCAGTTCACGCTCTTCAAATGCATTATATCCAGCTTTCATTCTCTTCTCCGGGTGTCGGTCAGTGGGAGTAGTTTTGCTGACATTCAATACCGCTATGGCATCTTCTACAGAGCGTGCTTCTACAGATCCCTCAGCTGCCATTAGTGCTGCCATCTGCTGATTAGGATTTTCTTCAAGAACATCCCTAGTTTCCTCATCTGCTTTTTTAGTTTTAGCAGTTGCAGAGGCAGCTGCAGCAGCTTTTCTTTCACGTTCTGCCTGAATCTCTGCAACTGTCATTTTAGGACGAACACTTGGACCTGACTTTGACGATTCACTTTCCTCAGCTTTCAGGGCTTCTTGGTTGGCTACCTTGCGCTCTGTTGCTTCCTGCCGTTTGCGTTCTTTATCATCCTTTATGGGAAGAGTACAAATTTAAAAATAAGATTAATCACTTCATTTGAGCACTTAAATCATGAACCACATTTTGCAACTTAAATGCCAGCAGTCGAAATAAGACTTTCAGCCAATTTCTAATCTTCCATCTGTAAATATTCACTTCATAGCCATGCAATCAATGATAGACAATTGTCCTGCTCTACTGAACTTTAATTTAATTTGCATGATAACAATGAAACTAACTTAAGCAATCAATTGAACATCAAAGTGATCTTTCCAGTAATGAACACTACTTGAGTAGTAATGAAAATAAGGCCTGAAAAAATTCAGGCCTGTAAGCAATCAAAACAACCAAAAAGTATGTACATAAACCAAGAGGCACAACAGGGTGTCACAAAGGCCAGAACAAGTCAAAATCATGCAGAACCAGGGCTTATTTTCTGAGTTTCTGATTAGTAAGGGGACATAGTGAATTGTTACTATAAATCTGAGGCTTAAGCTATTGCAGATTAACAATTCATCCAACAAACCCCGACATTTTTAATCCTTTGTTTCAAAACCCTGACTGGGTATCATGAAAATGCAGACCCTTGAAAACTCATGAGTGAGGTGCCCAAAAACCTCAGTTCCCCAAGTGTTTTGAAAACTCAGATCTCCTAAAAACTCAGAACCCTGGGTAACTTGAATACTCACATCCTCTATACTGACTTACATGTAATGGAGCCATTTTAAATGTTATTGGGCTCAATTATTTAAATCACAAAATAGAACAGTCATTATATAACTATGGTCTTTTCTAGAATAAAGAAAGGAGGAAATTGAAAAATTTGATAGGCTATGTCCATGAAATCATATGAAATACTTGCAAAACTTCTCAAAGGGTAAGGTTCATTCAGAAGAGGTATATAAACTTGTGTGATTCCTGTCAAAACACAGTGACTGGATACTTGTGTTTCAAAATATTACTAATAATAATGAAAATATTCGACCCTAAAAATGTCATGATACAAAGATGGAATTCTTCTAAAATGCACAATTAACTAGCAAGGAAATGACTGTTAAACAAACATTGAAATAGTCTGTCCATAATTACAATATTCACTCAAGGTGATGGATTGTTGAAGTAATTAACTGCCTCATTAACTCTGCAATGTTATGTTTGTTTTCCACACCACTGTTTTTTTTTTCAACTGCTAACCACATTTTGTCAATAAAACAATCTGATTATGATTCTTTCTTTTGTGACATCACTCATTTTAACATAGTAGACCAAAATTAGCCTTTCCTCATTATATTTATATGTAAAAATGGTTAACCATGAAAAAATCTTGAAATTGGATCTAGATTTTTGAGACACACAGGGATTGAGTTTTTGAGACACTCAACGATCTGAGTGTTTGCGACACTCAGCAATTTGAGACACTGACTCAGGTAGTTGAGTTTTGGATACACCCAGGGATTTGAGTTCTTGAGACACTTGGAGATCTGGGTTTTTGAGACACTCAGGGATTTGAGTTTTTAGACACTCAGGGATTGAGTTTTTGAGATACAATGATCTGAGTTTTTGTGACACTCCACGATTTGGAACCCTCGGGGATTTGAGTTTTTGAAACATTCAGGAAACGGAGTCTTTGAGACACTCAGGGATTTGAGTTTTTGAGATATTCAGGGACACGAGTTTTCAAAATACCCAGGGAACTGAGTTTTCTGGGTCTGAGTCTTCAGGACACCCAGGGTTTTGTGTTTATTCAGGGTCTAAGGTCTGAGTTTTCATGACACCAATCCTTGCTACACTACCACCACCCTTTTGCTAATGCACTTGAAAGAGTCATTGGCTGTCCTGTCGCCCAGTACAGGTATCAAACCTGTTATTTCGATTTTGAACTGCAAAATAGAACTGTAACGCACTTCAATCTGTACCCCAAACTTTAAGGAGCTCGGTCACTGAGAATCGATTCTAAAAAATTTAGCTCACATTTAAGAAGTTCGCCTGCACTAACTCAGATATTCTCCTCAACTCAAAATTCATTCATTTACCTTACTTAAAATTATTAATCAGTTCCATGTCCTCTTCGTTTGAGTCTAATTGTACTTTCGAAATAACTTCCAAGCCAAATGAATATTAGTAACACCTTTATTTAGACACAATAAAGTTTAATGCTGAACAGCTTGTGGTCGTGTGTAAATCCAAATCAACTCTAAATTAAATAAATTCAAATGATGATAGTTTTTGAGGAGAGGGAAAAACCGGAGTGCCCAGGGAAAAACCTCTCGGAGCAGAGTAGAGAACCAACAAACTCAATCCACTTATGACGCCGGGTCCGGGAATCGAACCCGGGACACATTGGTGGAAGGCGAGCGCTCTCACCACTGCGCCAACCCTGCTCCCCCAGAGGCCACAATTAGTAGTCAAGTTTGAAAGTTCATTTGTCTCGATTTTAAATCTAACAACTGACAACAACTGCCGTAATTTACCTACAAACACGAGCCCACCTTCCTTTGCTGTTTCCTCATTACATGTTTGTCATTATCCTCCCAGTACCTATCTTCTTCTTCCTTCTGTTTTCTTTCTTTTTCCGCAAGTCTAGCAGCATCTTTCCTAGCTCTAGCTTCCTCAGCCTTTGAATTTGTTCCTTTAAATTTTTTGGGCATCCTTAGAAAATGCACTTATAGAAGAAGCTTCTTTCGAAAGCTAGATAACAGTAGTTGTGTTTCTTTCTTCAGGCAACCAGCTATGTAGCCAGGCCTTATAAAGGTCTGTGACCAAAGGTAGACGGGGACGTGGGAACTGGGACGTGGAACGCAAGGACATGGGACGCGAGAACGTGGAACGCGGGGACGTGGAACGCGGGAACGCGAGACGCAGGGACGCGAGACGCGGGGACGTGGAACTCGGGGACGTAAAACTCGGGGACTTGGGGAAGTCGGAACTCGGGGATGTGTGGGACTCGGAGAAGTGATGAACAAAGAAGAGCTGTTTTTTGCGCTGAATTTGTAAAAGTATAATTTTCGGTGGTGTTGAGAAAAGTATTTTGTATGTTGGAGAACTTGACAGTCGTGGCAGATGATTTCCAGCGTCCATGGTTCGGCCGGATACGTTTCTTTTCCTATTTCACCGCGAGAACTCTGGGCACAGAATAGTTTTAACGTGAGGGGTCTTAGACAACGTGGGCAGCCATGGAGGACTTTCCTGGTAAGTAACTGTTGTTTCTTGTTGATCCTACAACATCCGTGCCTTATCCTTGCAAATTATTTCGATGCTGACGTTTACTTCAGGAAAACCGTTGTCCGAAAATGTATAATTCTTTCATTTTCATTCCTAGAATGTACAGATAATTCTCGTAATGATCTCGTCCTGGAAAGTGAATGGGAACCGGAGAAAAGTTTGTGTGAAGAATCCGAAGATTTGAGAAAAGAGATACTCACATGCAGGGAAGTCCTCCATGGCTGCCCACGATGTTTTAAAAGACCCCTGCGTTGAAACTCTTCTGTACCCAGATTTCTCACTGTCAAATGGCAGGAAAGCATATTCGGACGAACCATGGACGCTGGAAATCATTGGCTACCACTGACAAGCTCTTAATTATATTTCACAAGCTCTAAATTATATTTTACAAATTCAGAGCAAAAATCGGGAGTAGTTAGTTTATTTAGTCCCTGTGTCCCCGCGCGTCCCACAGTCCCCGCGTCCCGCCTCTCAGAGTCCCCCGTCCCCGGGTCTCAGGTCCCCGAATCCCTAGTCTCCGAGTTCCACGTCCCCGCGTCCCACGTCCCCGCGTCCCACTTCCCCGCGTACCACCTCCCCGCGTCCCAAGTCCCCGAGTCCCAAGTCCCCGAGTTCCAAGTCCCCGAGTCCCAAGTCCCCGAGTCCCAAGTCCCCGAGTCCCAAGTCCCCGAGTCCCAAGTCCCCGAGTCCCAAGTCCCCGAGTCCCAAGTCCCCGAGTCCCAAGTCCCCGAGTCCCAAGTCCCCGAGTCCCAAGTCCCCGAGTCCCAAGTCCCCGAGTCCCAAGTCCCCGAGTCCCAAGTCCCCGAGTCCCAAGTCCCCGAGTCCCAAGTCCCCGAGTCCCAAGTCCCCGAGTCCCAAGTCCCCGAGTCCCAAGTCCCCGAGTCCCAAGTCCCCGAGTCCCAAGTCCCCGAGTCCCAAGTCCCCGAGTCCCAAGTCCCCGAGTCCCAAGTCCCCGAGTCCCAAGTCCCCGAGTCCCAAGTCCCCGAGTCCCAAGTCCCCGAGTCCCAAGTCCCCGAGTCCCAAGTCCCCGAGTCCCAAGTCCCCGAGTCCCAAGTCCCCGA